GCCCCCTGGCCTGGGGGCTGGCTTAGCCCCTGCGCACCCACCAAACCACCCCTCCGCTCCCAGAAACCGTCCAGAGGGCAAAGTGCTGGAGACCGTGGGGGTGTTTGAGGCACCGAAGCAGCACGGCAAATACGAGACGGGTCAGGTAAGCGGTTCTGGGGAGCGGAGCTGACCCTGCGGGCTTGTTCCACAGAGCGTGGGTAGCCGAGTGGTTTACTCCTAAGGAGGCTGCTGCATTGTAGGAGAAAGCCAGAAGTTTCACAGTTCAGTGCTCCCTTGCCTCTGCTGTGTCTGCACTTTGTCAGTCATCTGACAGTAGCAAGTTGATAAGAATCTGCAGCATGACACAACTGCTCCTGCAATGGTATTTGCTCCGCTGGTTTTATTTAAGGGTTTTCTCCGTCTGGCAGCAAAAGAGACAATCACTGAATTTAAGAAATGGCCACTAAACTTGTCATTTCTGTGCTGATGGCTCACAGATCTGTTTCTGTGTTCCTGAGCGGTCTCTCCCATGCTGGTCTCCTTTTTGCACTTCTGCCGTTCTGTTGCTTTATTACTGGTTTAGTCGTTCACTTTTTTGGTAGAGCGATGACGTGAATTTCTTCTCTCATCCCGGACTGTTCTTTGTTTCTGCTCTGGGTTTGCACAGTGACGATTCTCCCTGTATTCCCATCCGTGCATTCATACTCTTTGTAAATGTTTCTAGTTTTACCTCAGTTAACATTTTTCTTTAAATACTATCAGAAAAGGGCTTTTGGCTTCCAGTTTTCTGTTGTGTTGAAGTTGATTAAAGCTCACCGTGTATTCAAATGCAATTATTTGTTCCTTTCAGCTATTTCTTCACAGTGTGTTTGGCTATCGAGGAATAGTCCTGTTTCCCTGGCAAGCCAGGCTTTATGATCGAGATGTGGCTTCTCCTGTCACAGAGAAGTAAGGATTTGTCCTGGTTTATATGTTGTGCTGTTACATTTACATTTTGCAGCGAGTTTCCTGGTTGGGGTAAACAAGACTCTTTAAGGAGGACAATGGTATGGGTCTGTTTTGCATGAATGTAAACTAGATGAGAGGTGCCTAAAGAAGAGACATTGCATGAGTACTAATTTTTTGTTAATTAGAGAGAGGATGGAAGTATGAAGGATGAGAGTGTGTGTTTATGAAGGAAATGAGAAAAAAAAAACCCCAAACAAACAAACAAACCAAAACCAAACCGTGCTCCTGGCATTCTTCGTTATAAAAAAGCCCCTTGTTTTGCTTTTTGAGTTAGGTCTAGGCTCCTGTGTTAAAATTGCAGGCTGCTGCTTCTGTGGGTTGCCAGTGAGCTGGACTTGTCAGCTGCCCCCGCAGTCTCAACCCAGTGGGCCAAGTTCATCCTTCTTGTGGACCGAGTCCCTGTTCACTTCTCTCTTCCATCCCTTTCCCCCGGCGCTCCAACCTGGAGCCTGTGTTGGAGGTGTGCCGGGCGAGTGTGCGTTTGGAGTTGGGAAGGAATGAGGAGTAAGCGGAGAGAGAATCGGAGGGGCAGTTGAAAGACCCACCCCAAACAGGAGAGTGGGCTGAGCAGGAAGAGCGTCCGAGTCGCCTGAAGCAGAGCTGTGGTGCCTGTGACAAACACCGTTGATTGTCATCTCGGCTCGTCTGTCGTTGTGTGGGTGGCTGACAGGAGTTTAATTTGGATGGAGTTGAATGATTACAGACTGTGAAATGTATTTTAAAAAAATAATTGTTTATGAACGTGCTGGGTCCTGGTGACAACAGTTTGCTGCCATCCTGCGCTTGAGCTCAGCACTCTGCTTTTCTTTTTAGAAGCGAGAACGCGGCAGGCCATGGTTCCAAAGAGGTCAAGGGCAAAACGCATACCTACTACCAGGTGCTAATAGATGCCCGGGATTGTCCACATATAGTAAGTAACCAATAATCTTGGTGTTGAAACTCAAATATCTTCTCCTATGTGAATGCTTTAGATGGACAGGCACTGAAAGAAAACGGCTATGATGGCTAACTTGATTGTTTAGAATCTTAGGACAAATTCATTCTTCAAGTCGTATCTTCCCTAAGAAGGATAATCTGCAACGTCGTATGACTTTTCTGGGTCATGTTTCCCCTTTCCAACCTCACTTCCTCATCCTGTTGGCATTCCAAAAAAAATCCTCATCCTTGTCATTCCTGTTCTGTTGCACACAGGTCATTAGGAATGTGGGTTGCAGCACTGAAAATGCTCTTCACTTGTTCGAGTGGAGAATTAGTCTAGAGGAATTAAAAGGAGAGATGTTCTGAGGTGAATTGGTTAAATAAAATAAACGTTACACGCTTTAGAAATCACAGTAGTAAACTGAAACGTGAAACCGGCCCACAACAATCCACACAGAAAGATATAAACCTCCCTTTTTCTCAGTCCCAGAGATCACAGACAGAAGCAGTGACGTTCCTGGCAAATCACGATGACAGCAGAGCCCTCTATGCCATACCAGGTGAGCAAAATGCACCTGTAACCTCCGCAGAAATGCGGATTGTCATGAGGTGAGGTCAGAAGAGTCACCAACAGTCGACGTCTGCCAATGAAGCGGCAGTTCCTACAGGGTATTCCTGTAGTGGGTCTGTCTGTGGTTTTGGGCTGTGCTAGAAACAACAGAATGACTGAAGTACGTGAAGCCCTTTTGGATGGATGGAGGTTGGGCAGACCCTGATCAGACACAAGCGTACCTGCTTTGTTTTCCTGAGACATAGAGCCCATAGGCATACCCTGTTGCATTCTCCTTTATTACTGGCACAGCTAGATCTCTTCTTGTCCTGCGCCTTTCCTGCCCAAAGTCCTTTTGTGACAGTGCAGTCACTTCCCAGGCAGCGTGTCTTTATCAGAGAACTCATTCTATGGAGAAATCTCCCAGGAGGACACTGCCAGGGGTTATTACTGGCCTGTTTCTTCCATTCTCGTATGCAATTTTGGCTGCTGCTGCCAAAATCCTTTTCTTTACATCTCAGTAGCGTGATCCATTTCTCTGTCAGGAGATTTCTGAGCTGCTCTTCGCTGGGGAAGTTCCATGGCTTTTGGGGTTTCTTTTTCAGGTTTAGACTATGTAAGCC